TGGGAAGTCATACCTCAAAGGTCAATAGGTTCAGAAATTTAAGAAGCAGTGACTGCAACTGTCTAGGAACAAATGTATGGGAACAGCTATTTTGAAGTAGTGAGGACAGTAGGATTTTAATGTTATATTAATTCCTATTAGGCTTTTCTCTGCTTAGTTTACTTTTAGAATTTCTGGTTTTATTTCAGACTCAGAGAAACCTCTTATTAACATGCAACTGACTCGTTCCTTCCTCCATAGCTAGGTGACCTAAGAGCTGTAATAAGTGAAATTCTCTCATCTGCTTATTCCTTTAATGGCAAAGCATGGACACACAGATTTCCCTAAAGTCTTCTGTAGACGAATTTTGAATGTGATATATCCTGAACACAGAACTGAAACAGTGATTCAACAGTGCAAAACCCTCAAGAAAGAAAAAAATAGGAACAGCTAGTGTTTCAGAAGAGTTCGGGCTGCATTTAAGTGAAGGAGCTATTTGTTCAACTTCCAAGCCTTTCTGTTCAAATGAATGTTTGACTTCTCCCAGACTGGGAATATAGTAAGAAATAAAAGGTCTTTTCATAAACAGCTAGGAAATTGAGCTGCCTGCCTAGTTTATATAACTCTTTGTAAAGAAGCCATCCTCAAATGTGCATACTAATTTTCCCTTGTGAAAAGGAGCAGCAATAATAACCAACAAGTTGAACGTTAGCATATTTGCGACCTAGCTGTCAAATCAAAATGTGTGAATTACAGTGCTGCCTTCTCCATTGATGTTCAGAATTTAACATATGCCATCTTACACAGTGCTTGGAGATGAAGAGCATCTTTAAAGGGATGGAAAACATACGCCCCTTTCTCCCTGTGGAACAAAAGAAGAAAATTAATGTTTGGTTGTAATGCAACAAAATCAATCACAGCTCTTTGATAATAGGTTTGTTGGAGCTCCCTTGGAAAATGGGACTCTTGGGTATTCTTAACTACAGCAGATACAGATCCAAAATAGCCTTTGCAGTTGCAGCAAATTCATGCCAAGGAAGGTTGATTTATTTCCATACAAATCTCAGAACAATTTTGTTCCACAGGAATACTGAAATATCTGGCAGAGGCCAAAAAGCCAAGATGATCATCTGATCCAAAGGGAACACAAAGATGATTGGAGGGCTGGAGCAACTCTCCTATGAAGAAAGGCAGTTAGAGTTCAGATAATTCGGCCTAGAGAAGAGAAGACTCTGGGGAAACCTTACAGCAGTACTTAAAGGGATCCTAGAGGAAAGATAGGGATAGACCCTTTATCAGGGAATACAGTGATAGGACAAGGGGTAACAGTTTTAAACTAAAAGAGGGTACACATTGAGGTTAGATATTAAGAAGAAATTATTTGCATTGAGGATGGTGAAGCACTGGAACAGAAGCCCTGGATGCCCCATCCCTGGAAATGTTCAGGGCCAAGTTGAGTGGGGCTTTGGGGCCAAGTGTTTTTGAAGAGTATATACTAAATCCCTCAACATGACTGATTCAAGAAGAGCAAAATAAGCTCTTAAGATAAATTAATATCTTAAAATAAGCTTTTAAGATAAATTAGTGTCATGGCTGCTAACAATCATCTTGCACAATCGCCATTCTCTACATATCCAATTCCAATCCTGACACCTTACATGTTCACATTGATAGCAGCTGAATGCTGAGTTCTCACTTGGACTGCCAAGTTTCTTTCCTGAGTAATGAATTACATCCAGAGCATTCTAGGGATCAAGTAGTTAACACTTCTAGCATACATTTATCAAAACTGATCACCTAACCACTCATCTACACTTGTTCATATTTGTCTTGTTTACACTGAATTTCCAGTATATGTCTTTTGCTTCCTTTGCTTACATTTCATCTTTTCCATCATTAACAAAGTTAAATACTGATAAACCTAACATGGAACCATGGTGCCTTCACTGTTCCCACCAGCTACATGAGCATATTACTTTACCCCTTTTAGTGTCTTAACACTTGACAGTTATGTCATGAACAATTTTTTGGTAGCCCTGTGTAAGAGGAAATTATGTTTTCCTTTATTCACTACTTTGGGATGTTGAAGGACAAAGTAATATTGATTTTCCTGTTCAAAAAATAACCTGAGTCAAGTGAAGTAAGTAGATCTACTTCAAGGCTTCCTCCTGTACTGTCATGTTTTAGATGGAAAACATTTCAATATTTTAGTGAGTGAGAACTGTCTGTACAGTCTCAACAAAACTAACGTGCTTGTCTATGGCTAACATTAGCAATATATGCACTGAGCAGTTGGCTCAGACTGTGACCAATAAAAAAGCCCAATAGCTCTGGCTAAACCTGCGAGGAATCTTGAAATGAAGTATTCCATGCTCCACAAAACAAAATTCCAATAGAAAAAAAAAAAAAAAGAACTTGGATTTGCCTGTAGCTTGATGAGGTGCACTAACTAGCACAAAGCAGCAGAGGTATCCCAGGCCTTGCTTAGGCAATAGAGGTTGCAGGAGGTACACAAGGGGATAAATTGCACTCCAGAAACTCTTCTTTGCATTACACAAAGTCACTTTTGCTACAGAAAAACTTCATGTTGAGATAACGATAGATTTAGCAGCTTATCAAAAGAAATCAAGGTTACTGATACACAGCTCACTGCTGTATTTGGTTACTTTACGCTAGAAAACTTGTCTTAAAATGATTTATTCTTTCCTCTTTGAAGTTTCATAGCTGAAGCTGGTTGTTCTTTTTACTTCTAATTAAATTTGGAGTTCTTGCTGTTTACGAATCCAAACACACACAAAGCAGAAACACTACAGCTAAAGCACACCTTTGAACAATTCATTGTGGACTTATTAACTAAAGTTCTTTAGGAAGTGCGATAAGCCTCATGAGAAGTCTACTTTCAGAGGATCTTTGCTTGTTACATACTGGTGACTCATTAATTTTCATCAACTTTCTCCAAAACTCGGTGTGTTCTTTCCTATGTCTCTGCTGCTTCTTCAGTCCCAAACAGAAATTAATCAAAATCTCTGGCAATGTAAACTACAGCTATGCAGGCTTTTATCTACTTTAACTAGACAACAGCAGGCTTAAAAAAAAAAAAAAAAAAAAAAAAGCTTTAAACACCACAAGATTTGGTGTTTTATTTTGTACCCATCTATCTTGAAGCATTTCTGGCACATAACGTTGGTATACCATTGGAGACAGACAAAACATCCGAAATAACATTCTTTTATCTACTTCCTCTAAAATTACTAGAAAAAGATTAACATATTTTATAGTTGGAGCAGAAAACAGAATGGATTTTTTCCCAAGCCATTATTTTTATTCACAATCCTCTTCAGGATTTTGCCTCTGAACCCTTAAAAGAGGATTTTTATCATGACAGTAGAAGGGGGTAAGAAAAAAAATGGTTCTTTGGTAATTAAATAGCTTGCATTTGAACTTTCCTTGCATATAACTCATCTTCCCAATGATTCCTCCAGGCTGCATGTAAGAGCACAGGTAAATCATGGGATACAGCTTCTCCTGACCCCATCTCCAGCCTTTCTTCACCCACATGTGTAGTCACATGCCTTTACCCACATGTGTTAACTGTGGCATACAACTTCTAGAATATTTCCATATTGCTAAGCTTTCCCTGTATAAAACCAGTACTAATGAGAGAAGTTACAGAATGAGTAGATTTAAATAAAATGTATGGAACAAACAGAAATCCAGGATGAGATTCTGAAAATATTTCTGGAATGCTTTCAGCCACTCCTTGAATACAGAAGACCCCTGGCCTTCACCTCACTAAGGCTAAGCAGGATGCTGCAGACGTTCACAAGCAATGCCAGCACCCAGTGGAGCTGTTAAAACTGTCAGTTTAAAAGCTTAAATTTGACAGGGTCAGGAAATGGACTTCAATTCGGTAGTAATAAAAAGTAGTTTATCTAGAATGAAAGAGATCTAACTTCGGTGACTGAATCCCAGCCCGCTGAAACTGGTCATTATGCAAAGCTCAGCACTGTCATCCCACGGGATTAAAATGCTCTGTGGTCCACTTGCCTGGGTGCCAAATTTAACGGCTAAAGAATAATAAAAAAAACATTTATTTCAGCCTATGCTAAAATAAGCTCATTCACAACTTTCCAGAGAAATGAATGGTCGGTCCCCAACAGAAAGTAATTTAGCTCTCCAAAGATGCGGAGCTGATTCATATATAAGGTTTAATCAAGGGTAATAAGGACAAAGTGAAGTGAAGTCGGTGACCATCTCACACACCACATTACTGCTTCTGTAGTGAGCTGTATTAGACTAAACTGAGAATAACTTATAAACAGTTTTGATTTCCAATAACCCATTTCTTTCTAGAGCAGAAATTTATTCTGTACTATAAGTTGTCTGAACACCATTCACATTGTTTCCATGGTCCCTCACCTGTATTGTCATTCACCTGCTTATCTCACTGCAATTTTATCACCTTCACATAGGTGGGACTTTAGATGTAAGGCATTCCGTTTGCAGCAGAGGTTACAAGACAACTCATTTTAAAAACTGTTCTTGATGTGCAGCTTGTGCTTCTTCTCAGTCATGAAGAGTTAGCAACGTAAGGAATATTAAAGAGTAAGAACTTTTAAGAGAGCCTGAAGATTCTCAAACCACTCCTTATGATCAAAATCACAAGGCATCATACCAATAGTTAATTGGAAAGGCTTTTCACCTTGTTCAGAACCTTCCCCCATCCCCCCAAATCCTAAACCTTCATAGTATGAAGCAACTTACAAAGTCAAAGGGTCTTTCAAGCAAGAGCCCTACGACTCAGAATCTCCAAGCCTAATAAGTCTGCCCAAACCTTTTTCTTCCCAGTACAATTGATATCAAATTTAATGATAGCATGGTAAGCAATGAAATACTGGCCAGACTCCTAAGCATAACAAAAAAAAATCTCAAGTTTTTTAAAAAATAAAAATATCAATGTTTATATACTCTGGGAAAAGTCTCAAATGAATTAGCATTACATAACATTTTCACTAACACAATTTCACTTTTCAAAACGGAAATCAGATTTATTCAACATTAAGTGTAACAACACATCAGAAATCAATATCCACTTATAAAATAAAGCAAAATAACATGAATAAACACAGGAAAATACTGTCTGAGACTCTCCAAGCAGGACATTTCTCATAAGACTCACAGGAAAAAAAAAATCATATGCAAACAGACTCAATTCCCAAAAACTCAGTTCTTTCCAGTTGTAAAGCAATATATAGCCAATGGGAGGTAAACTAGAAAGGGGAATGAAATGCATCATGCTGTACAACACCAAAGAAATACTCCAACTGCATCTGTGTACAGCATTAACAACATGCAGTAGATGAAGTTAAAAGCAAGTACATTGTGTATATATTAGAGAGACAGAAACTGGTCGGTCTCAGGGCTTTGTTTCTTATTTTAGTTCAGCTAATGAAAACAAACAGCAGCTAAGAGCAAGTAGAGGAAGAGCAGAATCTGCATGGAGGACAACATATCTTCCCAGAACAGTAAAGCATTTTAAGAAAGACTTAGATTGTGCACTTGTTTACTTGTCTTGGTCCTCTTCTTGCTATGTCATTGAAAAACAACCTATATCCAATGATGGTCTTTATGCAAGTATCTACAGTTTTAAAAAGCTGTAATTAAAAAAACAATGCAAGTCACTCAAATTCTGCTAGTTTTCTCAGTCAGGTATTAATATGCTGAGCACTCTTTATTAAATGTTTAGGTTTTTGTTTTTGTTTTTTTTTAATTGAAAATAAAAGCAGGGGAAGACATCTCCCAAATAGCCTTGCTAAAATGTGGGGTTAAAAGTAATTATTTTTGTTGCTTGCAAGTGTGTAATGTGAAAACACATGATATCCAATTCATTTCATTTAGAGCTATATAAACAAGTCCTTTAAACCACAAGCTGGGATGTTTTTTGTTCAAGTCAGTCCATAACCTGGCAGATTTCTCCCACCCCATCGCCAATTTTTAAACAAACCCCTAAGATCTCCCATGGCTTATGTCAGCTATTGAAAAGCAAGCAAGCAAAGTGCACATGCAAGTTATTAGAATTAGATAGCCAAATATAATTAACTACAGAGTTCCAAGCAGTAAGTACATCTACATTCCCCTGGGGAGACTCAGTCCTATTGGGAGATGGATTTGAAAGCTGAGAAAAGAACACAGGTTACCTGGTTCATTTCAGTTCTCTGCCTTCCACCTGGAGACCTCCAGGAACCTGTTCTACCATCTAACAAGCTAATAAGCTAGTACAAATATTCAAGATGTTTGTTTCTGCAGAAGACCACTTTTAATTAATTCCAGTAAGAACGGGCTGATGGCTGACAACTGGCCGACCTTTGTTAGGACTAGACATACTGACCTTAAACAAATTCAAGTCTGAAAATAATTGGGCAGCTTCAAGTTAAGATACAAAACAAAGGAGAATTTAAGGACAACTTCACCGTTCATACAGAAATTGCACCAGTCAATGCCGTACCTAGCTCAAATGAAGTACAGCAGCGTTTTTACAACTATATCCAACTACGATTTAGTCTTTAAAAGCAATATCTATCACTTATCTATTAGTAATTAACAATTACTAATTGAAAAAAATGTATTCTAAACAAACAATCAAGTATCAGTACCTGTATTTAGTTTATAACAGTAGAAGATCACAAAGAACTGAGCTGAACTAAAGTAAAAGGAATGTAAAGGAGAAAGAGTTAATTCAGATTTCTTCAACACATACTAAACTGAAGTCAGCTTTAAGACACACTACTGAAATCATTACCTGAAACAGCTCTGACGATCACAAGTTAGTGCTGTAACTACCAACTTTAATGCTGGATTGAAAATAGAATGGAAATGTCAAGTTAATGCCCTGCAAATTTCTACAGAAGAAAGGTTAATTCTTGGACAAAGTCACTGATCTGAAAGTTTTGAGATTGAATGTACCTCTCATCTCCAGCAATATAAATTGTGAGCATTCTTCAGTCTTGTGACTTAGAAGCAAGTGATATATCTTTGCACTCTTTTTCATCCTATGCAATGAGCAAAAGGATTTTTTTTTTTCCCCTGTGCCACCCTTAACATCTGAGGCCAGCCTAACCACTTTTCATTTCAGAGAAGCATCAAATACACAGAGCACACACTCCAGATTTGGTAAGCATGGGACTCTGGGACTCGCAGATGGAGAGTGAACAATGGAATGCATCCGTTTTATTGCTGAAAGACAGCAGATTGGTGAGTGCTGCCATCTCGCTTAAGCGATGTCAGATGCAAGAGCAACTGGGAATAACAGTATAAATTTAATTTATACGAGTCAGTACATTCTGTTTATGCAAGAAAGGACTAAGTGGAATTTCAGACCAGCACCATCTCAAAAAGGCCTTGAAGGGAAAGCCATCTACTGAAAATGTGTATGACACTGTTGAATTGGCACTATAGCCTCAAAAGAACTGTTACCTAAACATTTACATGCTATCAAGCACACAAACACTACAGGCAAAAGCCTTTTTTGGTTACTGGTTATACCAAAAAGTCAGTGTTTAAGAGTCACTAGCAGAAAAGTTTACCAGCACTTGAAATCAAACAGCCTTAGCAGGCTTAACCATTATTCAGTGAAGATGCAATACCCAGGATTAAAATGCTTAGAGAAATTCTGAGCAAGCTGTGTTTCAAACACACATCACTTCAGTCAGTGCAACCGGAACAGATGATAAAACCTCGTTCATCATACTTAACATATTGTACAAGGAGATAAGCAAGTAAAGAAGTACAAGACCCAGTGATTCCTCTATTTGGCTTTAAAAAAAAAAAAAGTTAAACACTCAGGTTTATTTACATTCTTCTCCCTTGCTTGTAAGTAAATGGAAAATAAATGCTTCTTCGCATACATTATAAAATTAAGGTAGCAATCCTTCTTCAGTAATGTAACTTGGTAATGGAATAAAACTATCCTGAAGCTCTAAAAGCTGGAGGTATGAGAAATGCTAATTGGAGTTCTCTCTCCTCTGCACATTCCTTTCCCGCATGTTGAGAAGCAAAACGGCAAAATACTGTAAGCTTAATTTCTCATTGTCTTTGTAGGCTTTTAGTCAGTCAAAATTAATGCCTAACTCAAGCTTGCATCCATACATATAACAAACTGAAGTCTTCTTGGGTTCACCATCTCCAAGTCTTCCAGATGAGGATGGATCATTATAACCATGACAATGATGGAGAATCTTCCCTGTTTCAGCAAATTGTCCATCAGAAAGCAATCTGCTGCCTAGGTATCAGTGAAATGGGGAAAGAAAAATGTACTGATATGCCTGGAACTACAGATATGCAGCTTTAAATTCCATCATTGACCACAGAAAATGAATCAACTGCTTTCATCTCAAGGTTTGCAATAATCTAGTCAAAGGTATTCCCCACACAACCAGGAACAACTTTCCTACGTTTTTTGTATTATTAGGGAAGAGAAAAATCCCAGTCTTCAGTACGAACAAGGGAAAAGTTTGGTTCTATAAGGTTGGGAGTTTGTTGGTTTTTTGCCTCCCTCCCCCCCCCCCCCCCCCCCCGTTTTTTTTAGATTGTCAGTACACTTCTTGATATAGAATCACATACTTGACTTTTCTTCCTCTTTCAGGTGAAAGACTTAGGATTCCCCCTGAAGAGGTTACCATTTAGGCAGTGTCTACAAAGGGGCCCCTGTGCTGACAAATGAATCTTTAACAATACATTTAAGAAAGCAAAGATCCTTATTTTCTGAGAAAGGAGGAATTCAAAATAAAACATATTTTGGCTATAAAAATAAAAAAAAAAAATACTCTATACTCTGATCACAACCATTCTGAGTTTAGAGCTTAGGAAGTCCTGAGCTGCTAAGCAATGACGACACTAGATAGTCTCAGATATCTAACGTCTTACAGGAACCCTTATGGACAGTGACTGCCAACTAGTTCAAATTGCACTAGGCAAAAACAGGAAAAACTTGGAGGACCTTTTAAAGCACATCAGCTCCTGAGATGTTGACATATGCCAGGTACTTCAGCATTAAGGCAGGATTTGATGTCTACCAGTGAGGATCTATCCTGGTATCAGTGATCTCTACATACATTTCCTTCTTATATCCTTTCTCTACCTTACCAAAAACAAGTAGAAGCCAAATTATTTTATTTTTTCTAGTGGACAAGAAAAAAGATGCTACAGGTTTGAAGACAAACATGTCTACAGTAGCCATAATAGCAGCAATGCAAGTCACTTAGATTGTGGACAAATTAAGGTGGCAAAAAGTATAAGTATTCTATTAAAATAATGAAAAAAAGCTTTGAACTTAACACCAATTACAGTTTATGCTCCAACATCCAATACTCACCACTTCTGATCATATTAAGTTTTTAGTTCTACTATATTTATTAAGTAGCAGCTATAAAGTTCCAGGACTGCTGGTGATAATCTGAGTGTTGAGAGCAGTCTGTGCTCCAAAAGTTTGCCACTATAAAGCCAAAACCTCTCATACCTATGATAATTTTGTTTGTACAACGTCATCTTTTTTCCCTAGAAGTTGATTAAATTGTCTATTTCAGAAAAGATACTTAACATTAAAAATTCACAGCTAATGAAGAACTTATCACTACCTCTGTTTCAGTTTTTGTTACTATAGAACACTGGATTTGTCTGTTTTGGCTTCTCTGTATTTGAGCTTGCATGACTTTGATGTCAGGATTAAGAAAGTGCTGTCCTCCCGCTCCTCAGTACCAGATATTTTATTTTTTTTCCCCATGTGTACATATATTTACTCTCCAGTATCAAAAAGCTGCTTTATCTTCTTTGGTAATGACAGAGACAGAACTCCTCAAATGTTACACCACAAGATCTACTATCCAGCCCCAAACCTTAATTATTGCTATAGCCTTCTTAAGTGCAGACATCAAAATTGAACAGTTTTGGTGGTATTCTTTTCTGTGCTGTTGTGGAGCCAAAAGAAGTGCCTTAATTTTATGCATTTCCCCTTTGTACAGGTTAAAGTACTTCATCAGGCTTTTAACTACAACTCTGAAGTCTCAGCAGTGAGGTGGTTCTCTGGCACAAGTCTTTGCATAGCTGCCTTTGGACAGTCTAACATGTACAGAGTGCACAATCTTAGTTTAAAGACACCATTGCTGCCTTGTGATGACTACTTTTGCAGCCACTGTTGTTCAGTGATGATTCAGAGAATGGGACAATGAGATTTCCTTACTTACTATTCCACCAATTTGTCTCTTCTCCAAACTTTACCAAATCTTTTATTTGCCCTATGCTTATTTATATAGATGACATTCATTTTCATACAGTAAAAAAAAAAAATCTGATTAATTCTGTAAGAGAACAGGAAGAATCCAAATGTTCCAGGACTTTTAAGGTACTTGCATAGGTAGCATCTCCATCTCTTCTTCTAACCCTCCTCTTCTAACCATTTCACTAGCCACAGTAAATGCTTCTGTTAACATCACCACCACTTATTAAGGACAGAACTGACACATCGTTTATGTACAATGGAACCTAAATAGAAAATTATAGAAAAACATGTATCATTTCAATTTCAATTAGCTACAGGTTTTGTTGAAGGCTCCTTACTAGCAAAAAAAGATTAGGCAATCAGTGAATTAATTCTTTCATACAGTACAGCATGTACATATTGTCGAGGAATGAGCCCCTGATCACAGGCTGCTGGCAGTGGCACCTGTTACTGAGGCAACTAGCATACCCCTATGGAAGAGCTGAAACTATTTAGTCATCGCTGGGTAAATTGCTTGTGTTCATTAGAGCAAGAAGTATTTCTTTGGAATGTACCTCAAAATAAATTCCTGCTCAGTATTAACGTTTTCAGACAAACTGAATAAAAGGCACTGTTACTCAAGCAGTACATTTGTTGTCTCCAACTGTTGGAAAAAAAAAATGGTTTTCAAGCAACTAGCTACTGTTGCCCTAAGAAGGCTTCCTTATTATCTCTTAGTAACTTCATCTCTCCGTATAAAAGCTCAACAAAAACTTTTCTGAAGCATGTCGAGTCTCACCTTTATAGCTATCTTTATATCTAAAATTATGAGTTAGTATAACAGTATGCATTATAAAATTATACCATTTACTTCAGACATGTCTGAACAGCTAAATCTTCAAACTATACAAAAATAAAGTGTATGAAATCTTACAAAAGGAGGACATTAAGACATTAATAGCTAATCCAAAAAATATAACAATAACTTATACACAGCAGTAAGCATAAGCAATGTAGCCTACAACAGCTTTCAATAAACAGGACTTCTGAAACAAGCATTAGCTAAAATTGGAACATTCCCAAGCACAATAATGTTTCCAATTTATTATCTTTACCACAGTACAAAACTTTCACAAACCGAATGTCCATTGTCTGTCAGTCTGTAAACAAAAGCTACTACCCCCAACTCCTCGTTTTAAGAGAGTGAATATTTTTAGTCCTCGGTCAAGTTTCATATCCATCACTTGCATAAGGAATCAAGAGCCTCTTCTCTTGTTAAATTACATATATATATATATATATATTTATCATACAGCCTGCAGTGAAGTGAAATCACAGTGAAAGTCCTGGGAAAAACATGATCTTTACAGCAGGACTTGAACCATTCTAATAATAAATGCATCTAACAAAGCTTCCCATAATAAAAGCGTGGCATTTCCATTTCCAGAAATCAAGTCAATTAGAAATTCTAGGTTCTACTTAAAAACCCCAAAGATCTAAAAGTGAAAAGATTCATCTCCTCAAATACAAGTCTTTCAGTTTCACTTGCAGAGAGACTTTTCCAGTCTGTAAAACAGTAGTGCAATTCAATTAGTTCTTTTATTTTTCTTGAAGTCCAGTAGATAAATGTTGTAGCTCTATGGAAAGATAGGAAGATGCTCTGGTAAACAAGAAACTTTGGCAAGCCCAGGAGGGCTTACTAGTTCATTAAAGCTTGTAAGTCCAAAGTGGCTTAAAAAAGGTTTATGAATAAACTAAAAAAAGAGAAATAAATAGGCAGAAATGAATGTAAACTGTCTGAAACTTTTAATGATTTCTCATTGACAGCTGGCACAAACTTTGACAGCAGAGTCAGTTAAATAGAATCCACCTACAGAGTATTCCATTAGCGCATCCAGTCTGGAATGCTCAAATGGAATTACATTCCTAAAGATTTAAAAAACAGTACTTATAACATTACTACAAGGCTTCTTCTGCCCACCTCACTTACACTTCTTCTTAAAGAGGCTTTTTATTTTTGATGGCTTTTTGTTTTTTTCACCATTTTGGTACAGGTCCTGTGGGATGCTACTTATCCTAGGGACAGAAGAAGCTTCATGGCTGGGTTTACTGTCACTACTGGCTGAAGAACACGAGGTGTGCCGAGGCTTTACGACTGGGATCCCACTTGAAAGCTGGTTCATGCTGCAGGACTTCTCCAGGATTCCATTATAAACTTTGCTGGCAGGACTAAAAATCATGCTCTTAGTTTCTGCCATGCCTACACAGTCAGGAGAGCCCCTAGATATATCTGCAGTTAGAGAAGAGGAGTCTCCTGTAGATGATTCCTCCAGTGAGAGTTCTTCCCGGGATACTTTCTGAGGAGAAAGTGCCTGGTACATCTCAAGACTAGATGGAGGAGACTGCTTCCTTCCAACGGATGAATTTAAGGAGTCACATTCTGAACCTGCTTCCTGTACTTCCCTGAGTCAGAGCAAACAAAGGAGAAAAGAATGAAACTATTATTTCCACCGTGTAATTAACAAGGAAATTTAGAATCAATAATATCAGTCTAAAAGCACCACCCACTTTTCCCTAGTAGTTAATTAACAAAAACATCAAGTCCAACATATTAACTTACAACTGGCACTATATCATTTCATTACCTAAACTTAAAATAATTACTTTCTGCAATTTTGCTTTTTGTGGGCAGCAGGATCTGCCCAGAATCAGTCATTTGCATCTCACTTCAAAGAACAAAAACTATCTTTCTGGCACGTGAAGTCAGAAAAGTTATGAAATGAAAGAAGGAGATTTAAGTCTATCATACACAAAAAGTTTCTTCAGGACAAGTGTCCCTACCTTTCAACAAGCTCATTTGCTCCTTCCAAAAGGAATTTAACCTTTTCCTATGAGGCCATGTAACAAGAGTAGGTACACGCTCAACATGCTGTAAGAATTGTGTTACCATCCATCTTCTCTTCGCCCAGTAGCTGACATTGCTTTTGATCCTAGTTTCAGATGTAAAAGCCAGTAACATATTGTAATGGAGAATCAGGGTTAGTTCAGTGCACCCTGGATTGTAACATTACTTAACTGTACATGACATGCTAGCTATTTACATACACATACCAGACATGAACACTTTCTGCTCCTTTTGGCTACATTCATTTATATTATCCTACAAATTACTTTAATTTTCGTCATGGTTCAACCTCTAATTCTAAACTGACTGCCTCAAACACTCCTATCAGATTCCCAAGTGCTGTTTGCTAGTCCCCGTACCATTGTTTATCAGCAGAGAAGTAAATGGCTTCCTCCTCCTCTTCAGTTCGATAAAGAGCTGGGCAGCTCGACACAGAAAGGATGTCAGGGTCAGGGGAGTGCAAAGCATGCTGAGACTGTGGAGATGATGGCACAACATTGCGTCTTGATCGACACAAGCTACTGCTTCTTGCCAGTGTGCTGGGAGGTTTTACAATGGACCCTGAGGCAAAGAAAAAGCAAACCAAACCCCCCCATGTGACATTGATGTTAACAAAATCTACTCTAAAGACTAAATAGCAAGTGTCTGCTTCAGTCACAGTGATTCTTAAACAGCTTTCACATTTCTCGATTATTTAGAAGACATTGCTCGACTGTTGAGAAAGCAGACTAACAGCACCTTACACATTCTACAGGTAGATGAAGCAGCTAACCAACTGCAGAAGTTTTGTGCCTACCAAATACTACTCTGACCATGTGCAGCCCTGCCTCACTACCCTCCCTTGGGAGGGAAGAGACTAATGAGACTTGCAAACCCTTATGAACTAAAAATAGCAGTACTCAAGTTAGCACATTACACAATATCCTGTATTCTACTTGTATTCTTTAAGCTCCAAGTAATCACACAAAGTTTTGTAATGTAGGTGGTACCTAACCAAACACTCAACTGAAATATACTGCATTGGTTGAAAATTACGTTAGACATAGAAAACTAAATCATATGTAACAAGATAGAAAATATATAATCCAACCTCATTTCAAGCTCAAGAATTTCCTATTTGATGTTTTCTTTTTCCATGCTAAGAATTTCAGGAAAAAAAATAATGGGTGGAGACAGCAACACAAGAGTCGACCATTCAAGCACCTAACAGGAAATGACAAACTATGATCTTTCTCATCCAATTCCTCCTTCAGAAACTGATTAGACATCAGTACTTTTATGGAAAGAAACCTCCAGATCTATTTTCAGGATATCTGTTATGCCTCAGGACTTCTCATATACCTCCTTACACTCTCCAACAGAACGCATCACTTAGCTTAAAATAAGACAGACCATACCTTTACTGCTGCTTAAGATGTTTACTTAGTACAGCATACCAAAAGAATTCAACATTTACTGTAGACAAAGATGTCTAGCCTGACACAAAGTGCATCTTATTTTTGAGATGCCAGTCAGTCAGGTAGATTACAGTCTCCCTTCCTGGAATCTCAGAAAAGGTTCAGTTCCTGTTTTCAGTGCAGGAAGCCACAACATTCACAAAACTGCAAACAACTGCACCTTCACCACAACATGGACTTTGTGTCCTGCTGGGCTGAGCAATAAACAGTGGCTTCCAAGTCCTAACATGACAGTTATCACATAAACCAAACTTTTGATTTTACTTTGATGAATTCCCTATTACTTGGAAAAGCAGCTAAAAAAAAACAAGCCTGTCACTAATCAAATTCCTAAAAAAAAATGTGTACTGAAGAAAACAGAATCTATTTAGGAAATTTGTACTGTGTGTCCACGTAAATAAGATGCCATCCTACTTGCTGGTGTAAAAAACAAGACCACCACTGACTTAAGAGAAATTGTAAGCATTTTGTTTTCTTATAGGGGCATATTTGCAGGATTATGAAAGAATTCAGCTATGACAACTTAGAATAAGTTTTATAGTGCAAATGAAGCCCATTAGATCAAGGAGTCAACTGAATCCTAGCCAGTTGATGGAAAGCAGAAAATTTCACTATCCCTTTCTTGTAATGACTTTGTTTCAGCCTTGTTCATCTACTTTATCTCCTCCTGTTCTTCACTTCAGAACTAAACAGATCCATTACTTCACACCATTTTAGCCTATCATATTTCCTGCTGAAGTGCAAAGAAGTCTGTCCATCTGACTACCAACTATGCCAACCTTAAGTAGATATCAAAGGATGCTAAGGCCAGGTAACAGCCTAGACCAGACAGTTCAGTTATATCCAGACACTGAAAGTCTTGCTTGTAACTGACCTGTCTGCATACTGCCTTTTGCCTGAAGCCTCATGAGTGAGACAAGCCATTTTGCTTCTGTCCTTCCTCGTGTGCATTTGTCATTTTTCTCTAAAGGATGGGAATAATTTAGCAGTTACCAACGTATCACACAATAATTTGACTTCCTGAATGGATTTCAGGAACATCACTGAACATATTTTGTTTCCCCAGTCCCAAACATTTCCAGTTTGTTTTTGTAAATAGTATAAACTATAAAAGCTAGTAAACTAAGAATTTACTTCTCTCATGCAATCACTTTACAAAAAGCAGACAAAACTTCATCAAAACTCAAAAAACATAGTTAAAGTTTTTGTAATGTTATTATGATTTAGGTAACTTTCATCACTGATTAACTGAGATACCACTCATTAGCTAAACACTTCCAAAAAGACAAACTAAATCTTAACAAAAACAGAAGTTTCAACTTCATGTACTCTTAGAAACTATACAGTCCTTCTCTAATCTTCGTTCCTCTGAACCAGCTGCACTTTTTTGCTCTCTGGCTTCACTTTCATTCAAGACCTGAACAAGAAAATGGACTAAAATCACATCTTACATACACATTTCGGTGATTTGCCATTTTAGACTATCTGGAAGGTCGTGATAGTAAATGGAGCTCTGTTTTAAAACCACACCATAGGTTACTCCATATTCTTTCTTGGAATTTTAGACCTAGGAATCCACATCTTACTGGGTCATCCAAGGAATTTGTTACTAAGCTTTAAATCAAAGCCCTTATAGAGAAGACTATAGTACTCTTTAAAAGTAATCAGAACTTGCAGAAAAAATAGCATTGCATTGGTATTAAACTTTTCAAAGGGCTCCATGGAATACATGCAAAAACACTTGTATATTTAGAATGAAAACATGCCCCAAGCACATGAAACAAAGCCAGCAAAGTGGCATTCTCCTTATGTGCTTTTAAAATTCTAATTGATTCTAAGAATTCCAGCCCTGGAAGAAAAATGTACACACATAACAAAGATTTCTTCCCTACTTATTCCCCAGCTTGATATTGTTTATTTAAAAAAGCTACATGGAAGCTCATCTTTTGATATGCCTCCAGAGTCCAGTTAATCAAAACTTCCATGAAACAGGCTCTTGTATTGACGTAATGACTCAAGATACCAGGGTGGTCTGGATCCCCAGTGTATATACTTTCATCATAGTTTAACCAAAGCTGGATTTCCCTCCCTCCAGCATTTGGCCTCTGTGCTTCACACTCAAACAACCCAATGTATCCAAACACAAACATTCTCCCTGAAAGCTTCCCTTGGACAACAACAGGATTTGAAGAATGTTTGAAAAGCTATGTAGCACAAGGAACCCTAGGCAAAATCCATCCCTTCCATCTGAAAGGATAAATGTGCTAAGAAAAAAAAATTAGCACTACAGATAAGATCTTGTTTTAGTGGAGAACCAAGCATGACAAGCAGACTTTAAAAACTTTAGCTCACTCTGTACCTGGGGTGTCCCCCACCCCCACCATGGTAAAGAAACAAAGGCTTTTTTTCCTTTATTTTTATTGCAATACCTTATTTTTAGTTTATGCAAGTCCCAAAAGACATTTGAAAAGTTACACAGAATTTTGTTGCTTCTAAACTTTGATCCAACCCTATACGATTTTAGTATGCCCCTCCCGGTTGATTTTAAAATCCCATGTTCCAAAGCTTTCTCATCAAGTTTACTCAACACTTACCATGAAACTGTGAAACTATTGGAGGAGTATCTTCATCTAAGTCATCAACTCCCCCTGCAATTGGATAAGGAGGAATGGAAACTCGAGGCATAACTACCCAGCTGTGATCAGAGTACAGAGAGGAGGTCAAGCTCGGTAGCCCAGAGTTGTGTGCAATTTGAAAACCACAAATCTTCTCAATCTGTTGCCATCGATAAAGACGCTCTCGTAAACAGGTTGTCAACTCAGAGAGTGCCTTCCTGAAGAAAAGCAAGCATTAAAATTACTTATTCTTTTCTTAATAGCAAAGCAACAACAGTGCTGTCATTCTAGGCCCTTTAAGACTGCAAATATTCCCACCTTAATGTCTTTTAAGCTGTTCCACATAGAAGTGCAAAAACACTACAATAGTAAGTTCAAATTCCAGAAATACACAGTCCAAAAAAAACACATGCGTCCTGTTATTAGTCTTACTTTGCTTCAAGGATTTTATGGTCCACTTCATCCAGTGAGGAGCTGTGTGCAACATGTAATGTTCCAAATACAGTGCTTCTCTTCTTTTTTATCTTTTCTGCCTAAAAAGCAGAAACGCTTATGTTATGTACTTAAGGCAGACAGCAAAATATCAGCAATATTGATAGGCAACATACATCATCTCAAAGGAGAAAAAATATCCATACACTTATCTGAATAATTTGTGTTTACTGTTTCATTTACCTAGCAAGATATCGCTCTTAAGTAACCCAAGAGTAAACATTAGTACCTCATCTTTGGCGATTGTTAATTGCATTTCTGCATGCTGTCTTTTGATATTGTAATATTGTACTTCAACTTCATGTGTTAACTGAAGCCACTTCTGTAAAGCTTCAGGAACAGACCAGTTACTTCTCAGCTCAAATTCCTTCTCAGCCTTTTTTAGAGCCATGCGAACCTAGCATTGAAAAAGAAAAAAAAAAAGCATCACCAAGATTCTCATTAGAACTGACAGCAGAAGACAAAATATAAACACCTTTTTAAACCCAGAGCAACATATTAAGGCTTTACAACAAGCTTTGGCAAGTGCCCATCTGTCAGGAAGGCAGATGGGGCATTTCTGAAATTAAGGTATGTGAATTTCCATGCACTATATTACACTCAGATTTTTCTCTGGTGATATATAGTCACTCGCTTGAGGCTTACAAGTATTTGTAAGACAACACATTGATTTAGTATTATAAATCCTCTATTACTACTCAAGAGTGAGACAAAGCTACTCCTTCTCACGTGATAACAAGATAGAAAACAAGCTGTCTTATAACCTGTTCCATGAATCCAGTTACTTTATGGTAAGATAATACATAGTTATGTCCTTTTATGTAGCAAAATACTCCTGAAGCTATGACATGATTGACAGACTTTTGCTTTTAGTACTTTCAGAATTTTCCATTCAAATCTAGTGTCAGAGAAAGGCTGTTTTAAACCCTAAAGATCTAATAAAGGAACAAATTAAAGTCAACATTAAAATACATACAGTTTGCAGATACCTGTACTAGCTCTTCTTCTGCATATTTGAGCCTGCTGAGCTCACATTCAGCTCCCTCCCTCAACTCCCTTAGGCGATGAGCTTCTCGTTTTGCATCATTGATCTCATCCATCATTTTGCGCTCCAGATTTTGCTTTTCCACAGCTACATTTCTATTCTCCTCCTGTGCCTTCTCAAGCCTTCACATTGAACAAAAAAATGAGAAAATACACAGCATGTTTGTTAAAAATTGCCACACTCTTGAGAAGAAATTGTGTCCAGTGCCAGGACAGCAGGCAATTAGCACAACCTGGATCACAAGAGGTTGCCTCTGAACATCAGGAAATACTACTTCACTGTATATGTGACCAAGCTCTGGCACAGGTTGCCCTCTGAGGAGTCTCCCTCCCTGGAGATCTTCAAAAGCCACCTGGACATGATCCTGAGCAACCTGCTCTAGGTGTCCCTTCTTGAGCAGGAAGGTTGGACCAGATGACTTCCAGAAGTCCCTTCCAACCTCAACCTTTCTGCAATTCTGTAATACTGAAGACTGTACAAGCTGCATGAATGTGCAGCATCACAACAAAATGTCCAGTGTCAAACAAAATATGCCAACTTTCAGTTGAATCTTCATTAGAAGATCAACCTTCATTAATAAGATCAAAATAGTCATCTTCATAGAAAATTGAGTTACGTACGTACCAGAGAAACCTACCAACTATCGTAATGCTAAATAAGTAATACAAAGTAATCAGCCAAAGTCTATTTCAAACTTAAGAGCTTGAAACAGGAGAAAGGTAGTTCCGTGTTCTCATTTCAATGTACATAAAGAAAATAGAGATTCCAAAGTAAACTAATTGTATGAATATAACAATATGTACTTCTAAATCAATAGATTCAAAAGACTGAATCTCTACTCTCACCTTTGAGTTATTATTTCATTCTAAAACATCCAGGAGCAATATCTACCCACCCAAAAACCCATCATCACTGACATCACAATTTCTACGTAAGAAGATTAACAAAATCCAAAGAAAGCTTTAAGGTGCGGTATTTATGAGCATAGATGTTCTGTATTTGTATTTCACCACAAAATGAAGTCAAGGACAACTAAACTAGGCTTTGTTTGTTTTCATACCTTTCCTGCAAGTCAAGAAGACTTTGTTCTGCTGTTTGGAGACTTTCCAAGTCCTTCATCATTTTTGTGATGTGTTCTTTGGAGGTTCTGTTCTGAGTATATGCAAACCAGCAGCCTCCAAAACCAATAACTATAGAAACTGTTAATACAAAATCTTTCATCCAGTTGTGAGGGGGACCTGTACAGAGAATAACATGATCACTAACCACTTCGTGGATACACAGAATACACCGCGAAGTTGTGTTTTGTTTTGTCTTCCTGCACAGCCTAAAAGGTGATGCAATGTAAGCCATTCTGTTCTAATGCAAAGAACATTACAGTCTATACTAAAACATACATTACTTTGAGGAAAGCTTATTAAATTTTACATTACATTGTCTATATATTTAAATTAGTTGAGAGCTTTCCCAATTACACTTTATCACCCTGGGAAGAACTTTAAGTTATGTTTCAGTAAGTACTCCTCCATTTGTGCCCTCCGAAATACCCTAATGCTAAATTAAAAGTTTTCTTGTACAACGTAGATTTTTAGAAGGCTAACTCCCTACCAGCTCTGGAAGAGCTTCCTAGTTTGGGAGCAGACAACACGCACAGAAACACAACACAACTATAACTGTGTACAAGTAAGCATGTAGACCACTGGTGATGTGGTAAGGAAATGTTTGCATAAGCTAAAATGCGTCAGATGCAAAACTGTAATACTATATTTAACAGCACTTAAACTTGAGTGCGCACAAAAGACGTTGGCATTGGGTTTGAATCACAGCCTCCTCCTCTTTGGGACACGGAGCGAGGAGTCATCCCCTCTCATTTCAACATCCCAGCTTGCAGTGTCCAAGATTTCTTGGAGGTGAATGTAACATTAGCTAGAAGTGTAACTTAAACATAGTCAAAAACAGTTAGAATGTACTTATTGCAACACAGAAGCCAACATGCAGCCTACTGGTAATACACCTAAATTACTACAGTCTTAAATTTTACAATTCTAGAGTTCCAGCATCCTTACAAGTTTTAATTCATTTAATTTCACAGTGTATGCCAACCAATCCATCAGTACAATCACAATATAAAATAAGCCATCCTACCTACAGCATCAAGCCTCACTGAAAGTATTTTCTGTTGAATTCCAACAATGAAAATATAAGAAAAAATACAAAAAAATACTAACGTGTGAGAGGTCCAAATAAAACAACATCCAAGGCTTTAAGCTGAAGTTTCTGTCTATGGCTCCGGTCAATTATTTTGAGGTGAGAGATCATGAAAGCATGTTCATTTACTGCTATCCTGTTAACAACAAAAACATTACCTACTTCACAAGCTATATTGAAACCCATCCATGAAAAAAAATAAAACCGCAATGTATGGAATTTTCTGGTTATATGGATTATAATCATGCAATTTAATTAAAAGATACAATAGATTGACCTGTTCCACATTTCCCTGTTCCACTTTTTCAGGAATAATCATTAATCCATCTGGCACAGCTAAAGGCAATAGCTGATCTATAAATTTGTGAAACCAACTCCACAAAACATACACAATACTCAGCTTTGGTAACTATGCTCAAGAAGAGGGGTTATGCAGATAGTTCTGATGTATACCTATGCAATATATTGGAAGTTGTCCAAAACAAAGTGAGCTAACATACAGAATTGCATGATTATTGATAGAAGTTCAACAGGAAGAAATAAGGCTAAAATGAAAGGAACGGCTGGATACAAATTATATTTGGAAGTATTTTGGCAGAAAAAAAGTCAGTCATCTCTTCAGAAGCACAAGGGCATTTCTCTTTTCTTGCGTTCATCCATGTCTTGTTAGACTTCAAGTTCACATCATTGGTCTCACATCCTGACTAAATCAGCAGAACCTATGGGGAATCATTTGAAACTAATTCAGAAGAAATTCACCTGGGAAGTGTTGTTCCATTGACATTGCTGTCTCTAAAATTCTTCTCGTATTGGGGCAGTTCAACAAATTCTGACAGCCACTGAAGGGTATCCTCTTGAGTCCAGTTATGAACTAGAAGAGAAGTGTTTGATTAACTTAATTTTCACAAAAATCGATAGCAAGACATAGAAGACAAGCAGTAGAGAAGGAAGTTAGTGAGCATAAGGCTTTAGCCAAATAGAACTGCAGATTCTAGAATAGAATTAGCATTCCTACTAACCAATGTGTTTCTGGCATTTTGCATTTTTCTTATTTGCCTAAGCTTCCTCAGGGAAGCACATGGTAAACAAACCAGCACGGAACCGATATTTCTTTATTAAAAATCCACAGAACAATTTTGTAGATATATTTAAATTGGGACTGCATCTTGTGACAAATCCACTTAATGATCCCAGTCTCAACCCTTTTGTCTTTGCATATGTCTGCAGGTGCTGTACCCATTTAAGGCAAGGTACCAAGATCTCTCCCAGGGACCCATTTTAACCAGCATCTTCAGAGGCTTCTGCCTACTGACCACAAAAGGGGAGAGAAGAAAGGAAATTTGCTCTCTAGAACTACTAGCATGTGACAAAGCTGGGCAGAGACAGCATCTCACACATACAATCAGGAAAGCTGAAAAACAAGCTTAAACATTTCAGATTTGGATCAATTCAGATAACTAGAACACCTTTCAGACCCACTTACAAGCTTTTGAAATACAGTCACAATACAAACCGCTTGCACTCATTCATATAGGTGGTGTATTACTCCTTCTCAGCACACTATTCCCATTTCTTCCTCTGCTTTAGCACCACAAGCTGTTGTCCAGGTGTTGATCTTACAACAGACACGGTTTTGTCATAATACTCTAAGCTTTGATAAAAGATGTCTCGGCTATTTGTAAACAGATCATAGGCACATTGCAAAGATTCTTAAATGTTTCTTGAATGTGAAAAGATCAGTTTCACAGCTAATTTTAAGCATTTCAGAAAGGTTGACTATGATCATCCAGATCATCCTTAATTGCATCCTGCAAGCATCAGATTCACAAACTGATTCAAAGCAAATGCACCGTTTTGATTTGACATACAAAAGTTACCTAAAATAGCTACTACACACTACAGACTTCACTGACAGTACAACATGTAATTTTAGAAGTAACACAATTCACTGAGTTGATAAATGGAAAAACTGAAATTTCACTGCTGATGAAAATACCTGGTAGTCACACTGTCAAGATTTAGGTGAAATTGTTTTCACATTTTATATATATATATATATATACACACACACACACACACACACACACCCCTCAGCAGTAAATTTTAAACTTTTCACCTAAGAAATATCATTTGGGCTCTAATGAAATACATTTGAATTTACATGAAGCACAATTTCTACATTTAGAATTTATTTTCAAAGTATACGAGTTCTTTGTAGAAACTGTTAGATTTTGACTTTATGCAATAACTGAATGCTTTTTCACTTATGTTTTATTTGAAATGCACAGAAAGTCATTTTTAAACTACAGCACTGATCAGGGAACAGAAGTAGACCAGGGGACACCCTGAGGAAACTGAGCACAAGTGTTCCATACAGCAATAATGGTCCATTGAAGCACCCTCTTACCACCACAGAAGCTTCCTTCAACTTAAGGGATTCATTAGATATCTGTACTGTTTGAGGGTCTGAACCAATTATAATACAGAAACAAAGACTGCAGGAGAAACCTGCAGTTTAACCTGTCAGTTTATAAAGCCAACCTTCAAGCCAGGCAATTTGCTCCAGGTCCCAAAATGAGGTTTCACAACAAGTGCTTAATCCATCAGAGCTTTATTCTGTAGAAGACTTTTCTGTAGGTTCTTGGCACTGCTTGGACACTTGGAATCTGCTTCTGCGTCAGTGGATTTCTAGTGCTAGGCCCACAAATGCCCACATTGTCCAGCTGTAGCCCTGTCCTCCCTTTTCTGCAGCACCACAGCAGAGCCCTGGGAGACTTGCTATCAGTGAAAGCTTTCAAACTGTTTTTTTCCATTTGTGTTTTCTACATGGCATATACTGGTCAGAAGTATTGCTTGACTTGTCTCCAACAAGACCTTATGACCAGTGTATGAATTTATTCTACAACAGCACACAGCAGCGAGAAGCAAACTGGCCTTTTTTTCCTGCAGAAGCATTTATAGCCTACTGAAACATGACACAAGAGCACTGATGACAGGAGCATACTGAAAGTCAACCTGGCCAGCTGAAATTCATCTTGATCAGCACTGGCAATTAGATTGTGACAGCTCCAATAAGCAAGCTGAGGTAGTAGTAATTTTTCCATATTTTAATCACCCAAAAAGAGCATAGTCCTTCAGATAGTGGAGTAGCAATTGACAATTGCTGTAAGTTAAAAGCACACTGCATTAAAAGAGATATCATATCCTTCCCTCTCACGCTTATTTTCACAAAGAGCTATCTTGAGATTGAGGATGTCAGCAACATGCTTTGGGTGGGCAGGTATAAAAGCCACAACATTTACACCCCAATGCAGCACTCAGTCTGTAGACTTGCACCAGCTGTTATACTCTGGATCCCGACGTGGCTGTTTTTTAAAAACAGCTGTAACATACTTGAAGGTGAAGGAAGCAAAAAGGACCTTCAAACTGGCCCTGTATCAAAGTTGCTCCTTGCTAACACATATTCATAACTGATTGGAAGATCATGCTATATATATATCCCTTTAATCACGTTAGATTTATCAAATAGCACAGGGAGCTGCAAAGTAAAGCCATTATAGTATCAGCCCCAGTACTCCTTTGGACCTCCTGCACCTTTCAGAAGTCAGACTGCATTCAACAGCAGTATTTCAAAGAGTTTAGCATTGGCCAAAAGTGAACGACAGCCATATTCTGGGCTAAGAGTTAAAAGCAGGCTCACCGGGCGATACAAAAAAAAAAAAAAAAAGATTCTCTATCAAACACATGGAAAGATTCAAAAGCATTAGTACAAAATATGCTGCTATTAGTTTTTACAACTTTTGAATAGCATGAAAAATTCTAAGTCTGGGTCAGCGTTTACCTTCTTCTCTATCTTTTCAATAGCCAAGTGCATGTCTTTTTTCACCTCATGCAGGACAGCCCATCTGCAGTACTGTACTCATCCTGCTCCAAACGGCATGGAGCCTTAGGTAACACATCCTTAGCCAAGCCCCACATGTGTTTCCTATCTCCGATATTTAAAAACTGAGACAGTAAACGATTAACAAAGTGGAAAACAATCCTAACATCTCCATGGCATGCAGTTTAGTCCTAGCTGCTGCAAGAATACTTATGAAATATTACCTCAGATTAAAACAGGTGATGACATACATAAAGATATTTTTAAAGGCTTTGTTTATCTACTACTAAAGAAGGTAGACTTCAGGTCACCTTCTGCTTTCCACAGAGAAGAAAGTAAAAGGAAAAATACAGGGCAAATACAAAAAATGCAAGCTACTTTGTATTATAGAACAGTCCACAAACTACAGGATATATGACATTAAACTTCAAATAAGCCATAATGGCAGAGAAAAACTAGTTGCTTTTTCTTTAAAAAAATCAGTTCGTAGAAACTGACTTTTGGTAGGTCTTAGTCTGAGAGAAGTAAACAATTCAAGAACTCCAGGTTTGATCACTACAGTTTTGTTTTGCCACAGCAATTAAGTTGTATGGGACAATGCTACCTTGCCAAGAACACAGCTCCCTGCCCTATTCACCCAGGCAGGTCAGAGAGCTATCCAGATGAAGGCTCCTGCCCCAGTTTTACAGACTGCCTTACGACTGAGACTAAATATGTAAACATCTCTCTTCTAATAGCACTCAAATTCATGCAGATTTGATCTGGGGGTGCAGAATATAAGGGCTAGGGCCACAGATGCTCAAGACTGGACTTTGAATGCCAGTTTCTGCTCAATCACCTTTTAGACATCAAAGCAAGTGCACCACCTTTGTGAACTCCCACCTCCCACCTTTTCAAGGCAGAATAAAAACCAACTCTGCACTTGAACTTTAACTCAACAACAACTAACCTTGATACTTGAGAATAGCTGACAGACTCTGTGCATATATAAATAAATACTGCTTAGTTAAAAAGACAGTCAAACACCACACGGCAAGCATATGGAACATAAGGAACAGGCATACATAAGAACAGAAATCAGAGTCTTAGGAAGCAGGGTTTTCTATGCTTTACACAAGATATGCCAGTTCCTAACCAATCTTCTAAAAAGAGTTCTGTTTCTACAGAGTTATATCAGAAGATTTAAAAGTTTAAACGGTCAGCGGCATCAACTAAACTAAGTGCCAGTTGTTTTCACTGAAAGACTCACCAAAGCTGTACAGCAACAGACCAACAGACTAGATGCTGATTTTAGCTGCACTGTCTTTCCTTTCATCCAAGAAAAACTTACAGCAGCCTCAAAATCCCTTTAACTTGCACCAGTACAGACTACTACTTATGGATTTTAAGGCAAGGGGGGGATACCAAAAGCAAGCCTCGTGCCAGAAATAATTAAAAAGCAATCTGCTTTTTTTTTTTTCCTTTCTTCCCTCAAATCTCATCTATCTTGTATCAAACAAAAGGCTATTTTAAACTACTTGATATATGCTGAAGACAAACATCTGGAGAAAATTATCTTTATGAGAAAGAAAGGACAATTCAACTCAGCATAAAATAAGAAACACTAAATCCAGAAGACATTTCTGCATAAGCAGTAATGGGCACTGTCAAAGGCACTATTTAGAGCTTGTAATTCTCAGAGATACCTCAACAGACTACTTAACGAAGTCTCAAATTACCGATACCACCATTTACACTACCATCCACACTCTTGCTTCATGCTGTCAAATTGCATTAAACTGGCACTATAGACTAGCAGCACTTAAATCAGTATTCCTAAAACATCTAAAAAGGAAAAGCAATATCTTGTGTGTTTCCTAAAGTTAAATGAAAATAGTTTAAAGATTTGAGAGGCTTCATGCCTTCTAACAGTCACAAAAACCAAGTGTGCATATACATATATAAAAAAATTCAGAGGCAACTTTGAAAAGTTCTGTATTGGGAAAAAAAAAAAAAAAAACATTTCAAGATCATGTCACTTCGCTTCTAAGTTCAAAAAGCAGTGAAGAGGAACACCATATAAAAAGCTTATGCAGTCATTAATTACCAAAACATGAGTTTGGAAATCTCAGAATTTAAGCAGCTTAAGTGAAAAGTTCAAAAAACCTCAACTTTATTTCTTAGCATACAATTAAAAGAAAGAATAAAGAAAATAATCAAGCATATAACAGCTAGATTTCAACTAGAAACATAAAACTTCAGTATTGTTAGTATAAACTCCACTTTTCCTAAAGCATCTGTTATATGTCCGCTTGGGAGACTCATTCTCATCCCTGTGGTGGAACTTCAGTATCTATAACGGTACTGAACGTACAATGGCACTGAACAGTGCAGAGCAAAGCCTCTATAAGCAGACACAGGAAGACCAGACAGTCCTTTCAAAATCTGAGTCTTATTCACACTGCTCACTATACTCAAGAGACCTGGAACAAAGTTATATACAGATACTTTTTATAATACTACAGCCTACATTTTTGAAGAGTTACTATAGGTCAGACAAAATTGTAGACAAAATTTTCTTTGATAATTTAGTTGCAATGTTTTCATTGCACAAGATCTTCTGTGAGCAATTACCTAAAGGATACTTGAAGAGATGAGGCAAGAAACATCCACTGATTAAAATACAACTGGTTTACTACATAGCAAATACTTGCAATGTATGACCTCAGACTGCACTTAAACGAGTGCCTAACAGTAGCTGAACAAATGTCATCTTCCTAGTTTCAGCTCTTCTGTTCAATCTTTAGTTGTTCAACTGATACTAATTTATAGATCTTTAAGCACATGTCATTAGTGCAATAGCTTATGAATGTTAAAAAAATTACTCTTAACTACGACCAACATTCCTGACCTTTACAGATTTTTTTAATCACTAAATCCTGGAACATGCTCAGCAATGAACAGTATACCATTCATGAAGTACGTGGCTTATAATTTCATTCAAATCAAGGAATGCACATTGGGTCATCATTGCATGGTCCTATATCCCAAGTTCCAAAAGATTTTTTAAAAGTACTTAGGACTAAGAATTTTAGCTCTTTGGAGCCCAAAGACAATTTATACAGTAGAAGTACATTGGATTTTCCACTTAGTACAGTGTATAATTAATGTTAAAAAACACCTTGATAGAAACCCTTAGCGTTTGCTCACTAAATAAAAACACTTATCTGGAATTCAATGATTGCAACAGTCACTTCCATAAATTATAACCTCATACCGATGAGTGTGAAAGCTATCCTAATGTACCTAGCACGTCAAAAAGAAATTAACACTAGAGTGAGCATTCAGTTTGGTTTATATACCCCTGTGAATCACGATACTGATACAGATTCATGAAAATGCTGAAGAAGAGGTCATCCACTTACTACTATAAACAACTTGGTGGAAAACTGCGTCTATTTCAATAACCAATATATTTTTAACCTACCTTCAGATGTTTTCCAGCGTCTCCATAGATCCTCAATGGTAATATGCTTGTCTTCTCTGTGTAGGTGGCTATGTTTATTCGAGGCATCCTTATACTGCATATCTTCCCTTAAAAACTGAAGAAGGAAAACAAATTAAAAAACACCACTTTCTAAGCAGAAGCTGCAAGCATATCAGGGTAAAAAAAAAAAAATCTTTACTATCTCTTCCCCATGCAAGCAGCACACAATTCATGTAAGCTGACTATGTCAAAGACTCAAAAAGGAAGTTTTAACACTCTTACAGGACTTGATTCTGCAATTATTAAACTCTAGGAAAACTGAATTTGCAATTGCTAGTATACAACGTTTAACAACATTTTTCGTATACCTTAGTGATTCCGAGTATTCACTGCATAAATCATACTGCATACTTTTCCATTCTGAATACATTTGGTCTTACCTTCAATAGATGAAGATGACTATGTAATAATAGAAAACACACCAGACCTTTATGGATGATGAGTAATACCTGAATCCTGCTACAGCAGTTAAAAACAACCGCTTGTGGAATGATAGAAAGGTGTTAACTAATATTAGTCTTCTGAGTAGGTAACAAATTTTAGTTCCATTTCAAATTAAAAACAGAAGCCATCTTAGGGACAATTTTCTTCTTAATAATGATGCCTCAGTGGCTACACTCCAAGCACAGAAGTATTACACATGGCATTTCATTTACAATAATTAATAGAAAGCCTATGTCAAAATACCAAGCTTTGCATGTTAGTAAGCATAACAAAACAGATCCTGCAATCTCATTATACAAGTGTTGTATCAATATTTCACAAGTCATTGCAAATGGTTTCTCTTTATACATAGAGCCAGAAAAAGCATGCAAATGCAAGACCCTAGCATATATCCTCTTAGCTAGGGCCACTGTCAGGAAAAATGGATACCACAACCATGAAATGAAGACCTTCCTCCCTCCCCCAAAAGCTGAGGGAGTGCTAAATGTCCATTAGCCAACAATCTTAGCTCTTACACTGCATTCATTACTGGGTGCGCAATAATAAAACCACACTAGTGCTGCAGTGTAGTACAGCACTATGCCAGAGATAAACCCCTTAATTCTTCTCATATCTACTGCTTCCCATTCTTTTTCCAAGTTTCAGTATAACTGAAATTTCTTCAGCTGCAAGTCAGAATTGAAGTAGGAGAAATTATGAGAGGGAGAGATTGAAAAACTTACTGCAGGTATGAATGAAGCTTTCCAAGTGGACAAAGTGAGCAAGACAATAGAAGAGTAACACAGAACATGACAAATAGGTGCCGGTCTTATTTGTTTCACACAGAGCCTAGAGAAGTTAGCAAACCCATCTCCCATTAGTAGCAGTAACCTTACATCGGTATCAGACCCTAAAAAGCACACCATCAGACACCTCTGTGGGTGGACACCTTATGAGTAGCAGTACCAGAAAACTAACATGAGAGCAAAGTAATCTCAGAGATTACTTGCTTTCCTCACTCCCTGAAGGATATGCAGCCCAACCAAAACCTGCTATAGGTAGTCAAGACACCTAACAAAAAACAGCTTTTTATGTGGCAGGTCCATATGCTATCTCCACTGCAAACAAAGGTGATAAAGAATGGCAAGTGGTGAACTGCTAAATGCCCCACTTAAACTTTACTCCTGGAACAAAGCATCTGCAGATCTTCCCACATTTCTAACAAATCTAGAGATGATTTAGTTCAAGTTGCACGAGATGGAAAAGCAATCAATGTATGATAGCAGAAATATACAAGAAGAAACTAACTTACCAAAATCCCCTTATTAAAATCTTCATTCTTACAAGAAAATAAGTCGTCTTAAAAAAAAAAAAATACAGGAAGGGATTCAGGTTCCTCCTTTTAATTCAGATAAAATTGTAGTTGCCTTCCTGAATCCAATCATAAATACCATGCCTATCTTTTGGTTCCAAATACTGGTTGGGTGCAAGCCCTCTTTCACCTACCACTTCAGAGCATTTTTGACTGACAGACAATTGCTTTCTAAAGCAGTTTGATTACTCAATTATTTCTGTTTAGCCAATAAAAATTTCATGTGTGCTTGAACTACTACTACGTATACGTACAAGAAGGCAGAGATGCTCACGTTTACACATGCATGCATATGAGAAATATCAGAGAAATGTACTAAATGAAAAAATTGAGAACGCAGCCTGTTGGGGCGGAGCCATTTGCAGAACTTTGAAAACACCCTGGTCCAACAGTAGTAAAAAAAAAAAAAAAAAGTACAGTAAGCACAGAAAGGAATGACTGCTGTAACCATATGGAAATGTATCTGCTGCATAACCTCTGCTGCATGTTCCACAGTCCAAGCATGAAGTCTGAGTACTTCCCAGATTGGCACAACAACTCTGAAGCTGGTAATTCCCATAACCAGCACACGATGTACAATCGAAGGTGTCTGTGACAGGCACAGACATTTGTTTTAAAAAGGTCGGTGTGGTTTCTGAAGGGGAACAGAATGGAACACATGCTGTAGCTAAAGGTTTCAGCACATTTTGCACCTCCCCAGCTAAAGCTCATACCTCTGAGTTTTCAATTTTCTTCCATCTATTTCTAGTTGACAGCAAAAGCAAAATATTTCACGACAGGAACATCTGAACAGCTACAGGTGCTGTCAAGAAAAAGTCTGAAATGCTGTTAAGAAAATCATGCTACATACAAGGCTAGGAAGAAAGAGATGACAGATGCCAACTGATATACAGAAAAGCTTTAGGGTGTTACATATCACACAAGAGCCCTATAAGGTTATACAGGAAAGCGTTCTGATTTTTAAAATGTAACATGGGTTACCTCGACAGCCAGTTAAGCAATGCAGAAAGGATGTATGGAAAACTTTCAAAGTTTCCTGTTGTTGGGCTACAAAGCCAGCAGAGGGAGCAGGAGTTAACAGATACATTCACACGGCACTGATGCGAACATAACTATGTAAGCTTGAGGGGGGAAAATTGAAAGCCTAATTTCAAATTTCATCACAAATACAGAAAAATCTAAGTTTACAGTAAAAAAAAAAAAATCCAGAAGGAGAGAAGAATAGTGGAAAAGATCTAATTTACATTGAAAGACTGTTAGGGTATTTGACTAAATTTTTGTTTGTTTGTTTGTTTTAAACAAGGAATCCACACAAAAACACCTCGAGCAACTTGCATTAAATAATTAGTTTGCAGTAACTCCACGGGAGTGGTCCTGTGTTTATGAGGATTTCTCCATGAAAAAACAAAGTGCCTGTCTCCTGTTCAATCCCACCTATATTGCTCTCAGGTCAGAGACAGTCACAACGCAGGACTGCCACAGGGGCAGAGTTACAGCGTGTACAGCTGGACAAGAAAACATCACTTTTCAAAGAAGGAATGCATTCACTAATGAAGAGATATGACAGTCAACAAACATCTCTTTTGCTTAAAATACCTTTTTTAAGAGCTGGCCTAATATGGAAGTTTTGTTAAGAAAAGGAATTGCATCCTAAATTGAAGAAAGCCGTAAAAACGGAACAACTCTGGTAGAAAGAGGATTTTTCTGTTCCTTGTCATGGCAGCTAATCTCTTTTCTGTTGCCCTGGCCAGTAAGTACACAAAGAAGAGGTTAGAAAAATAACTCTAAACTGGGAGGTTAAAAGAATTAGCTCTGACAAAACACATCTAAGTATTATCTTAGCCAACATAATTATTCAACAGGGAGAAGGCCTTTTAAAGACTACACATTTGAAACCAAGATAGCAGATGAGTTACGTAAAAACAAGTGTAAAATAGCCATTAGTTGAGGTAGGTAATTCAAAAACAACTAAAAATTACTCTAAAGAAAGCTACACACCTAAAATCAAACCTGGAGTTTTGATCCCAGAAGAAATATTAACAACTGTGCTCCTACAAACAAAAAATCATATCCCAGAGCCCAGGATTCAGTGTAATAAAGTGGGGATGAAAAACTTTCATCCTGGCGCCAACAGAAGCTGAAGCCCTGGAACAGTTCAAGGCAAGGTCAGGTGAGCCACCACCTTCCTCTCCACAGAGACTTTATTTCTGTAACATTCACCAAAACCCAGCAAACTCAACCAAAAACTAGCCTGAAGCAATAACCACAAACTTCTAACCCTTCCAAAGAAGAAAAAAAGACACCAAAATCCAACACAGGTCTGACACCAAGGGAGCACTGACACACTAAAGCCATACACCACAAAGATGCAGGGCAGGAAAATATGGAAGTTGAAAAATTGCAAAACATCCTTGCTCCTTGAGGAGCAAATGAACAATCGCATACTTTTGCTAAACAGTGGAAAAGTAAAATTAACCACATTCACTAACTGCAGAAGGAAGCACTCATGCTATGTTTATTCCTTGTTCTGGATAAAGACACAAGTTTATGATTTTCAGTTTCACAAACTTAAAATAGACCCTCCAACTGACAAGTTTACTTTAAGAGCAATTAGTAACATCTCCTGGCTAAGTGTTACCATCCTCCCTTGAGCAACCATTCCTTTCTACAGTGTTATTCCTTTCAGTTTTATTATTTCCTCTTGCTTTAATTCTTCTGAAGAAAACCTGCAACAAGTCAAAACCTCCATTTTCCTTTAACCCTACCTTAGTACAGAGGCAGTCCTAACAGCAGTCACCCTTAAATGGCCTTTTACAAAGCTGTTCCATCCCGTGCTACCAGATTTACTCCATCTATTGCACACTGTCAAGCTTTGCCAGGTTATGATGGCTAGCTGACAGCAAGTGTGCTTTTAACATTCAACATGCTGCAATTAAGGTACAACAGCATTCCCCATTTCCCCCCATAGAAATAGCTTCTGAAGATGTTACAGAGTAAAATAAGGTAATTTATTCAAGCATGTTGGAAATATCTCCAGTAAAACAAAGTTCATGGCTAATGAAAGTGGAAGCAAGCGTATCTCAAGTAACCTACAAGTTCTACTGGGAAAAAAAAAAAATATATATATATATAGTGGCTTAAAATAAAATTTCCGTAATTCTACTGTAAACTGTGCAATGCCTTCAAAGGGAAGCTGGAATTAATTTCCAAGAGAGCATTTAATTGTAGCAGGACTAACTGCCTGCAATGCTACAAAACAG